CCGGGGCACGAACCCGCGTCCCCTGCATTGGCAGGCGGACTCTCAACCACTGCGCCACCAGCGAAGCCCTAGGAGATGTTTTTTTAATTGAAGTATAGTTGAATTGAATTGAAGTTGAAGTATAGTTGGTTGACAGTGTTACAGGTGTATAGCAGTGATTCAGTTATATCTATATATCTATATATGTGTGTGTATAGATATTCAGTTATATATGTATATATATACACATATATCTTATGAATCTTTTTCAGATTCTTTTCCATTATAGGTTATTACAACATATTGAATATAGTTCCCTGTGGTATACAGTAGGTTCTTGTTTATCTATTTTATATATAGTAGTGTGTATCTATTAATCCCAGATTCCTAATTTATCTTTCCTTGCCTCTTTCCCCTTTGGTAACCATAAGTTTGTTTTCTGTCTGTGAGTCTATTTCTGTTTTTTAAATAAGTTCATTTGTATCATTTTTTTAGATTCCACATATTAGTGATATCATATGATACTTGTCTTTCTCTGTCTGACTTCACTTAGTATGATAATCTCTGGGTCCATCCACGTTGCTGCAAATGGCATTATTTCATTCTTTTTTATGGCTGGGTAGTATTCCACTGCATTTATATACCACATCTTTATCCATTCATCTGTCCGTGGTCATTTAGGTTGCTTCCATGTCTTGGCTATTGTAAATAGTGGTTCCATGAACATTGGGGCACATGTATCTTTCTGAATTAGTTTTTTCAGCTTTTCTGGGTATATGCCCAGGAGTGGGATTGCTGGATCATATGGTAACTTAGTTTTAGTTTTTGAAGGAACCTCCATACTGTTCTCCATAGTGGCTGCACCAATTCCCACCAACAGTGCAGGAGGGTTCCCTTTTCTTCACACCCTCTCCTGCATTTATTTGTAGACTTTTTGATGATGGCCATTCTGACCTGTGTGAGGAAATCTAGTTTGATTTTCATTTCTCGTATAATTAGCAATGTTGAGCATCTGTTCATGTGCCTATTGGCCATCTGTATGGAGAAATGTCTGTTTACGTCTTCTGCCCCTTTCTTGATTGGGTTGTTTATTTTTTTGATATTGAGCTGAATGAGCTGTTTCTGTATTTTGTAAATGAATCCCTTGTAGGTTGTATCCTTTGCAAATATTTTCTCCTATTTTGTAGGTTGCCTTTTTGTTTATGGTTTCCTTTGCTATGCAAAAGCTTCTAAATGTAATTAGGTCCCACTTGTTTATTTTTGCTTTTCTTCCCATTACTCTAGGAGATGGATCCAAAAAGATATTACTGTGACTTATGTCAGAGAGTGTTCTGCCTATGTTTTCCTCCAGGAGTTTTATAGTATCCAGTCCCACATTTAGGTCTTTAATCCATTTTGAGTTTAATTTTGTATATGGTGTTTGAGAATGTTCTAATATCATTCTTTTACATGTAGCTGTTCAGTTTTCCCAGCTCCAGTTATTGAAGAGACTGTCTTTTCTCCATTGTATATTCTTTCCTCCTTTGTCATAGATTAATTGACCATAAGCACATGAGTTTATTTCCGGGCTTTCTATCCTGTTCCATTGATCTATGTGTCTGTTTTTGTGGCAGTACCATGCTGTTTTGATTACTGTAGCTTTGTAGTTTACAAAGCTATTTTTTGGGCTCTTCTAAACAAACACATGAGTAGAATTATAGTCGTCACCTATTCCAGTAGTAATTCTTTCCAAGGCAGGGAACTTGAGCTTTGGGGGTCTGGCTTATAACAGTTAACAATAAGGGAAGGGCACTTGGGGATTCATCAATGAATGAAGCACAACTCTGCCTCATTCCAGTGAGGGGTAGGGAGGTGGACAGACAGTAAAATATATGTCAGATGGAGTCATATATTATGAAGAAAGCAGGTGGGACAGTCTGATGGAGGTGACATTTAAAGCGGATGAGGGGACCAATCACATGTCTCTGGGAGTATCTGCATTTTAGGCAGAACAACAGGCTGTAATGTGGCTGGCATGTTTGAGGACAGGAAGGCAGCCAGTGTGGTGCAGTTGGAATGAATGAAGGGGGCGCGCAAGAGGAGGTCAGGGAAACTGGGAGTTAGTTAGACATGGAGGGAAGTTAATTCCTGCCTGCCCTTCTGTTTCAAATATCCAAGAATAGATGTTTCCTCAGCTCTTCTGGGCTCAGGGCCTAGAAAGACCATCCAGGAACATTCTCCTTAATTCCGGTGAGAGACCAGAAGGGAACACTGTTCAAGACGACTTGGATGATAAAGGAGAGGAACATGAATTGTGCTCAGTTGGAGTTAGGGCTCGCCTGGTATTCATTTTATTATTCACAGCTGTGGGATAAGAAGGCCTGGTCTTCAACGTAGCTGTCAAACCTGGTGGCATCCTAGAATCACCTGGGGACCTTTTAAAAATCCCGATGCCCAGGCTGTACCCCTGACCATGTTAATCAGAATCCCTTAAGTGTCACGCAGGCCTCAGTATCTTCTTAAACTCCCAGGCAATTCTAGTGTGTAGCCAAGTTTGAGAGCCACTAGCTTACATGATTGTTAAGGGGTCCTGTCTGAGGCTGGTTCTCGTCACAGTCTGTGGGGAAACACACACCACAGCTTAAGCTATCTGCAGTGGTTTATTCTGAATGCTTAACATTTACAGGTGGAAGCAGCACGTGTTGAAGGGGTGTAAGGTACAGCAGGAACTGAGTCAGGGGAGGAAAGATGAGTCAGTTCCTTCCCAGAAGGTAAGCCTGTTGTGCAGGCTTCATGCTTGCCCATAGGTCTTCATTCCCAGTTCAGGAGGTTGTTACTCAGTGCTTGCTTCATTTACTGGAAAAGTGCACTTGACATGAGTTTCAGCTCCTTCCCCCACAGCTTCCAGCTCAGCAGCAAACTGTCGGGAAGAGGTTCAGTTACCAGGTATACTGCAGAAAACACTTTTAGGACATACCTTTTGGACAAAATGTCATAGGCCCAGTTTTAAATTCTCCCAAGTCAGAGAAAGTACAGGGTTTAGGAAATGCTCAGTGATCAAACTTTTCCCTTCTGGACACAAACTTCAGTGGACACAGAAGTACAAAGAAGAAATTTGTCTCACAGATATGATTAATATTGTGATAGCTTAAAACTCAACTTAATTTTAGTGGTTTTGCGGAATGGTTAGAAAACATGAATTATAAACAGCTTTTCAGAACTTAAAGTTCTCTTAATTTGAACACTGGAAGGCCTAAATGTTGAGACTGCCAACAATTTAGGTTTACTAGAAAACACAGAAGAATTCCCAAAGGGTCACTTTGGCCCTTGAACTAGTTATCACTTATAAAGGCTGGAGATCACAAGGAAGGAACAAAGATACAAATGGACCTTGAAGAAAGGTATCTTGATAGAAGCAGCCCTAAATGTCAGCAACATTTAAGATGGGAAGGACAAGAGTTATTTAGTTCAAGGCTAAGCTTCCACGTGGTAAGTTCTCTCACTTAATATTTTAAAAAAGCCCTGAAACTATGGTTTTATAATTTAGTAGGTAGCTACAACAACAGACAGGAGGAAAGACAAAAAAATGAACGTAAGATTAGTTTTTAATCCATATTCCCACAAGGCAGGCTACCTCTGAGCCCCTCGCAGCCATAAGTACCTTAACCTACTCCTGGATTTTCTCGTACAGACTGTTGATTTGAGTCCGAAAGTATTTGGCAAGCTCTCCCCTCTTTGCTTTCAAGGTTGGTGTCAAGAGCCCATTTTCAATGGAAAATGGCTCTGGATGAAGATAGATGCGTTTGACCTGGGAGGGAAGATGCACGCATATGTGTTTAATAGTGATGTGGACTGTTCCGCAGAGCCCTCTAAATGCTATGTGAAGACCCTTAAAGAATATTTCCCCTTATAAAAGTGGCATTGATGAAGTGGGAGGGTAAAGAGACAGGTAACACATGCCCATTCTCACACACTAATAATTTGGGAAAGACATGAGTGGAGAAGGAAGAGGAATAATGAACAGCATGAAGGGGCTGGACAGGTAAATGCAAAGGTCACTGTCACTAATGGACTAATAGTACCTCTAAAATCAGTTCCTTGGAAACTGTACTTTTACATTTTAAACCCCATTATAAATGTGAACTTTAAAACTGACATGAGAGACCAGGATAACATGAGTAGTACATACCTGTTCAAAGGATTTAAGGCCACCTTCTGTCCCAATTTTCTGCAAGTCTTGTAAAATGGTTTCCTTTATAACCTAGGAATATAAAACATAGCTCAGAGCATGGCTGTTGCAAAAGAGCCTAAAGGAAAGGCTGAGCATGAACCAATTCAAAATGCCTGCTAAGCTCATCAGGATAAAAGCAGGATATGGGGGTATGTGCAAGCACATGTGATACCTAAATGTTGCTCAAAGAAAAAAAGTCATGGGAAGAAAAAAAATCTAACTGGTAGCAGGGGTTTTCTCTGGATGGCATTATTTAACTCCTCATTTTCAAGTTATTTTTTCCACAATGCACATGCTACTATAAAAAGAATAGGGATTTTGGTTGTTTTTAAACTCCCCATCCTCTCTTCCAGTCTAATAAAAGTCAGTCCACGCCCAGCAAGGGTCTGTTCTTCCAGAGAGGAGGCTCTAGGCAGCTGTGGGTGCCCAAGCTGGGGAGGCCTCCCCCTCCCACGACGGGCCCATGGGTGGGCATAGGCTTTTCTGAGTGAGACTTACTTTGTTTCGGCACAGTTCTTCAAAAGAGCCCTTCACCCCAAGTTTGGCTGCAAATGAGGGAAGCACATCTGGGTCAGGAACCACCATTCCCACCAGGAATGACTGGAAAGGAAACAGGCATGTGAACTAGCGCAGCACTGCCCCCCAGTGGGGAAAGAAAGCAGCGTTACCTCAGAATGCATGATTGTTCCCAAGCCCTGAAATTCAGTGCTGGCGTCCTGCAGTTTTCTCACCGTATATTTCAAACCCTCATGGAACTCTGACCCCATTTTCCCACTCAACATTTCTACAAAAATGTTGTATTCAAACATGAATAGAAGTGGAGCTCAACATTAAGCTTAAAGCATCTCTGGCCTGTCCATGTCAATCCTCCCCCACTCCCAAGAAGCTAAGTTTAAGTGCAGTATTATATAAGACAGTTTGTGCCAGAAGGACTCCTATTGTAGTGGAAACGAAGTGCACCATGGGGCTCTTCTAATGAATGGCTACCCTTTAGTATAACTGTTTTAGCAGTTCTACTGACTTGTTTACAGAGTCTATCATAGTTTCAAAGAATTTTTTTTTTCATTTATAGTGCCTTATTTGAGGTTTGGAGTGTGGCTTCATTTCTTTAGTTTTATAAGCTCAGATCTTCTCATCCTAAATCTACCTATACAGATTTCCTTTAGCTATGGAAGTTGGTATGGTCTGTGCCTGACCACTGGCTGTTGTTAAGACAATATATATTACCCATAAGCTTTCCCCATGTACAAAAATTTGCAACACCAGGCTACTCCTGACGTAGATATCTTCTATCTTCTCTGGAGCAATGTATTCTCCTTGGGCCAGCTTGAAAATGTTCTTTTTTCGGTCGATGACCTTCAGAGTTCCATTCTACAGGAGACAGAGATAACACCATCAGTGTTTCTGAGCCCTATTGAGTGATGCCAGTGAAGAGAGAGGTGAAGTCAGAGGTAATCTTCCTTCTTTAAACTTGACCTCTCCATTGACCTTTGGGCAATCTTTCCTTTCTCTTTCTTGGCTTTGGGGAAAGGGGAGGAAGGCAGCTTTCTTCAAAACCTGTCTATACTGCGTGTGTCTTTGAAGAGTCAGTGGGCAGTCTTGGAAAAAGTCCCTTGGACCCACTGGCATTGTGTAAATGGTTGCCTCATCCAACGAAGAAATTTTGCAGCTCTGAATTGCCAACAACTTAATTTCCAATTACTCCTTTTCCAGAACTCTCAGGAATAGGGAAGGTGTTATCTTTTATTAAGACTTTTGAATTAGTTCTCCCCCTCCTTGACTCCCTTCTCTGTATCCCTCCTGTTAGATCCGGGAGCAGGCTATACAGCTCTACTGTGCCACTGCTAATCAAGCAAGTCAGTAACTGTGCTTCTTAGGACAGAAGCAGGGCTGGGGAGGGCTCTCTGACCAGCCAACAGAGGTCATTTGCAGCTTCATTTCTCTGGGCTAATTGGTCTGAGGTGCTTAGGTTTTTAGGGATTTGAATTATAGAATTGGGACAAGTGGCAAATACAGTCCACGTGATCACACCCTGAACAGCGCAGCAGACTGAACCAACCTTGGAACCATTAACAAGGCCGACTCAAGAAATTAGCCATCAATTCAGCCTAACAGACATTATCTGAAAGTGAACAATAAGGCTCAGCCCTTTACAACTCCAGTGGGAGGACACATCTGTTACCTACATTGTAGGCTTATTAGAACTGAGAACTCTCGTTATACAGAAACAGATCTGTTAGCAAAATACCACTAGACCCAAATCTATGAAGTACATCATTAGGACCAGTGTTCTTAGAGATCTGTTGTCAAATATTCCTTGAATATCACTTAAATCTCGAGAATATTGAGCAAGAAGGGAGTTTTAAATCTGGTTACATTCCTGTTCCCCCATCACATAGTAGACAAAAACCTTCCAGAGAGGAAAGCTCTTGGAATATCCTTCACAGGGGTTTAAGGCTCCATCATTACCATGCCGTAACTTCCTCTCTTAGGAAAACAGAGGGGGTTGACAGAGACTACTTACTGCCAATTGTTAGCAAGCTATGCATTTAAAAAGTCTCTGTGTCTTCCACCGAGAGAGGCTGTGAAGGTCACCGAGGGGGCAAAAACTAGCCTCTGCATACACCTTGTTTAGAAATCCTGCATCCTTGTTTTGATATGTCTCCATATATAAGTGGAAAGAAACTTATCCCTTTGAAACTCATAAAAGGCAAACACTATAGGCCCATGGAGTTATCACAGTTTCTTCCTCAATAAAAGTAAAAATCACAACAACAACAAAATAGACTACTACACTTCTTTGGAAAAGTCACCTAATTTTCCTCTGTAGGGACTCCCAGAAGTTTTGAAGCAACACCTACCGGGAGCCAGCGGCCAATGTCTCCTGTGTGAAGCCAGCCATCCTTGTCCAAGGCTTCCTCTGTCTTCTCAGGGTCCTTCAGGTATCCCTTGAACACATTGGTGCCCTTGATGCAGATCTGCACATAAGATGGTACAAGGTGGTGACAATAGCAAAGGCTGCTGCAAAACACCTACTTTCCTACCACCTTGAGTCATTTGATGCTTTCCACTAATGTACGAAGAGCACCAGATTTTAATCCCCATTGTGGGGACTGGAAAGTTAGGCTCAGAGACACTGAATTCCTTGCTAAAATTCTGAATAGAATCAAACACAAACCTGCTCACAATTGTGTGCTTTTTCTGATGCAAACATCCCCACTATGATTGTCTGAAAATGACTGCCCGGCACAGCCTACCCACCTGTCCTTCATTGTTCACTGCAAAGTAGTTCATATCAGCCACATCTTCCAGCTTCACATGATTGCAGGCGATGGGGACTCCAACGTGGCCTAAAACACACCATACTGAATCAGCCAGGATACCGTGAAACAGTGATAATTCCAGCCATATTTCAGAGAGATTTATGGATTGACTCTAAAAGAATAAAACTGAAAAGTCATCTGGCACCAGTGCTGGAGAGCCAAGATAGGAAGCCCTGGACCAAAGCTTAGGTTTGGCATCTGCCACATTCATCCACAGCACTGAGGTTATCTAAACGCCTGCGTCCTAGTTCATCTAGAACTCCTCCCAACCACTGAACCTCCTGCCCAGTTGACAAAGAACCTACCTGATTTCCAATCCCCAGGTGATGTAATTGTACAGCCAGCAGTGCATTCTGTTTGACCATAAGCTTCATATACCTGCGCAAGCCAAAGAAGGGCTTTGAGACTTACTCAAGATAAAGCAGGAGCCGGCCATGCCCTATGGCAAGACATGAGGAAAGCAAGGTCTCTGAGAGCTGGAGGACACTTAGTGTCCTAATACCTTGAATTTATGCCTGAGCTGCTAAATCTTTACAACTGTGAATTCACTCAAAAACCAAAAGGGCCCAGAAATAAACCAAAGTATGGAAACATACTATACTTTGGGAAATGTGGCATTTCAGGCTGATGGAAAAAAACAAGTTATTCATTGAGTGATGGGCAACCCAATGGCAATCAGACTTGAACCAAGGCAATGGAGTGCTACTGAAGGAGCTGAAGAAAGTGAGTAGCATCTTTTAAGGGAAATAGCTATGGTTTGGAACAGGGGTTGGCAAACTTTTTGTATACAGAACCAGATAGTGAATATTTTTGACTTTGTGAGCCACTTGGTCTGTATTTCAACGACTTAACTCTGCCAGTGTAGCACCAAAGCAGCAGTAGACGATAGGTAAAGAAGTGGGTATGGATGTGTTCCACTGAAATTTTACTTATAAATACAGGCAACGGGCCAGATTTGGCCTGTGCGGCAGTTTGCCCGCTCCTGGTATAAAGGATAATCTTGACTGGTGAGGGGATGTGGGGACGTAGTGCATGGGCTGCAGTGGGGCTATGGCCTGTCATAGGCAGAGCTGGTGGAGAGGAAGGCATTTCTGGGAGGGGCGCAGCAATAGGACCTTCTGACCTATTGGTTTTAGGAGCTGAGGGAAAGGAAGGTATTAAGACCGGCCAGGAGGATGCTAGTTTGAAAGACGAGAGGAGCTCTGACCTTGGCATCAATTCAGACCCTGTTTTCTTTTAACATCTTTATTGGAGTATAATTGCTTTACAGTGGTGTGTTAGTTTCTGCTGTATAACAAAGTGAATCAGCTATATGTATACATATATCCCCATATCCCCTCCCTCTTGCGTCTCCCTCCCACCCTCCCTATCCCACCCCTCTAGGTGGTCACACAGCACCAAGCTGACCTCCCTGTGCAATGCAGCTGCTTCCCACTAGCTATCTAGTTTACATTTGGTAGTGTATATATGTCCACGCCACTCTCTCGCTTCGTCCCAGTTTACCCTTCCCCCTCCCGGTGTCCTCAAGTCCTTTCTCTTCGTCTGCGTCTTTATTCCTGTCCTTCCCCTAGGTTCATCAGAACCCTTTTTTTTTTTTTTTTTTTTTTAGATTCCATATACATGTGTTAGCATACAGTATTTGTTTTTCTCTTTTAGGCCGCTGTTTCATTCATGTTGTGCATGTTGGACGAATGAATGAACTACTTAGCTGTTTGTGGAAAAACAAATATGAGACTATATCTGTACTCAAGCCCACTAACTAAATTCCGGGTGGAGCAGAGACTTACTTGGAAAAAAGTAAAACCGTAAGGCTACCAGAAAATCTGGACGAAAACAGATTTATGCAATATTGAGGGTTAGGAGGCCTGTCTAAACAATTATAAAGCCACATAGAAAAGGTGACTGACTACATACACATTTGAAACTTTTATATAGCAATACACAGTGCAAAAAGGTGAGACTAGGAAAAATATTTCTAACACAACAAAGATTGATTTTATGACCATACGAAGAACTCCTAGGAAGCAAGGTGAAAGAGAACCAAATTATCCTTTGCTCATTTTTCTATAAGGAAGTAATCGAGTAATTCATGAAAGAAATACAAGTGCCTGTAAGCAGTAGAAAAGATGTTTAGTGTTAATAAAAGAAACAAAGTTGCAATAAGATTTTTCATGTATCTCGTCGGCTAAGATTTAAATGACTGAAAAAGCACTAGCAAGAATATGGGGATATCAGGACTTGTGCATTATTTGCATTAACGCATAAAAAAGACAAGACCTTTCTGGAGGGAAGTGTGATAATCTACATTAACATGTAAAAAACCCATATACTTTGACCCAATAATCCCCACTCTAAGGATTTATCCTAAATTGATAATTGCATAAATATACACAAGTATCCTTATCACTTGATTATAATAACAAAAAAAAGTGGTAAACAACTCTAGTGTCCATCAATAAGAGACTACTGATTTGGGTACGTTCAATAAACTTATTACAAAACCATTAAAATGATGTTTATTTGACAAGGAGCAATGTTAACGGGCACTGTTTAATAAGTATTTTAGAACACTGGTGCTGTTTTTTAAAGGTTATACTCCATTTATAGTTATAAAATATTGGATATATTCCCCGTGTTGTACAATATATCCTTGTAGCTTACCTTATACCTAATAGTTTGTACCTCTTACTCCCCTACCCCTATGTTGCCCCTCCCCCTCTCCCCACTGGTAACTGCTAGTTTGTTCCTATATCTGTGAGTCTGCTTCTTTTTTTGTTATATTGACTAGTTTGTTGTATTTTTTCAGATTCCACGTGTAAGTGATATCACACAGTATTTGTGTTTCTCTGTCTGATTTATTTCACTTAGCATAATGCCCTCCAAGTCCATTCATGTTGCTGCAAATGGCAAAATTTTGTCAGTACTGATGCCATTTGTGTAAAGGTTTCTGTACACAGGTGCATTAAGAGGTGACTGGAAGGGTATTTTCTCTTGATTTTGAGATTTTGGCTGACTTTCTCTGTGGTACTTTTCGTCTGTGTTTTCATTTTTATTTAAATAGTGTGAGCTTTATTTGTGCAAAAGTGAAATAAGCTATCATCAAAAAAAAGGTGCCTGGCTTACCGGACATCCCATTGCTGCCCGGAGGAACGTCAGGACAGGAGGGGAGATGGGGGCAGCTCCGGTGACCATGAAACGAACCTTCCCGCCCAGGCTTTCCTGTTTAATAGACACAAAAGACCTGCTGAAGACTATTCCCTTTGCTTCAGTTTCCTGTGTTGCAGAATGGGTAGAACAGCCTACCTACCTGGTGTTGTCATGAGAATTAAACTCGTTAATTTACAGAGCACCTAGAATAGGGTCCAGCATTGTAGAAAAGAACTTAAAATGTTAGCTATTACTGTCACCACCATCCATAGCTGGGACCAGACCTGCAATTTTTTTTTTTTTTTGATTTCCTCAGATAATTTGTATTCTTGGGCCCTTCAAATTACCTACAACCTCAACAGACCACCTAAGAGAATGAGAGTGCTAGAACAAGAAAAATCCACTTTCTGCTTTTTGACCAAATCCCTTTAGTGACAAAGTTGTCCAAGAGAAATCTCAAAAGGTGAGTGAACCCAGAAAGTGCAAAAGGCTCTCCAGTTAGAGATGCTTGACCATCAAAGGAAAAGCAAAGTGTGCTGAGTCAGTGGGCAGCCCAGATACTTACCTGGCTCCATCCATAATCTACCCAACGTACCTGGATCTTTGCAAAGACGAGCTTGTCCCAGACACTGTTGCGTCTGATGATACCCTTTTTCACTTCACTGAATTTACTGGCAACAGCCAACTTCAACAAGAACTTCTTCAAGGGTGTCTTGGCTTCATTTTGTACCTGCAGAGTGACAGCTCCTCTTAGCTGGAAACCTACTGGAGACACTCACCAAGGCCATTCATCAGTGAGCAAGAGATAGCGCCTCCTAGCTTCATAAGAAAGAGGCTCTTATTCGTGCACTGGTGTGCTGATTAACGATGAGCCCACACTAAGAAAGAAGTGAACTTAGTACATACACACAGAGTTCCAGCTCCTCCAAATTCCTTGCCCTTAGCAAACAACCCTGACAACTCAGATAGCATGTCCTCAAAAGGTAGTCAGCATCTATCTACAGTAAAGTTACCTGGGAGTACTGATTAAACAGCTGATTGGGTACCATTGTTAGGACTTTTGATTCGGTATCATATGTATGTATGTAGTGTCATAACATTACAAAGAAAACATCCCACTGGCCATTTTTGAAGCTCGCTGGGGTACCAGTTCATTATCTTGAAGACTGATAAAGGAAAAAATCAAATAATTTTCATGCCTTTATGGAAGAATCTCAGCTAACGAAGGCAAGAGAAATGCTTGGATTAGAAAAATCACCATTTTTCCAACCTTAATGAAAAATAGAGCAGTGATCAATGACAGCTAAAACTGTTATGTGGCAGTGGGATTCTGGCCCGACTCCTTATTAGATCTGACCCTGGACAAGTTATTTAACCTCCAGGGTTCAGTCTCCTCATCTGTAAGTTAGGGATTATAAGTGTTGGCATGATTTCCTGGGCTTTTGTAGAAATTAAATGATGGAACGCATATGAAATATTTACCGTGGGGCCTGGCACCTCAGCGAGAAGCACACTAAACCAGTAAGTGTTATGAAATCAGAGTAACAATTTACCAGTAAGTCAGCTGAATTTTGAGGGGCTCCCCAACTCTCTGAATTAATCTCTTTCTCCAGATCACATCCAAGTAATCTCATCCAGAGGAAAGGGAGTTTCATCTGTTATGGTTTTTCATGGCTGCACCTGTACATGTGGCTATAAGTGGATGCTGGTAGGGGTTGGGGGTAGAAGTGGAGCACGTTTCTTAGTAACATAGAGTTCCTAAGAGCTTTAGTCAGGCCTAAGCCCCAGACAGCTCCGGCAGCTCAGGGCCAGCCCAACAGAAGCAAGGTTAGCACCTTATCGTAGACCCTGTTAAGGAGTCGGGGAACCGCGGGAAAGACTGTGGGCTTCAGGGTCTTCATGTCATCAGGCAGCAGCCGAATATCTCCTTGGAAGAACCCAACTCTGGCTCCACAAGAGTACACAACAGCCTAAAAACAAAACCAAAGAGCAGAGCTCAGAGGCAAAGGACCACTTTGGGTGGGGTCTGTATGGAACAGAATTGAGGATGTCCATGGGCACTTTTCTCTGGACAGGACGCCCGACCCCTGAGGTTTCATGTACCCAGAACTCTGAGACCCTACCCTCTAGGCAAGATGGAAACTCACTTCTGCTGAGGTGGCGGGACAGGTAAGGCAGATTGTGAGATTGAAGGCCCAGCCCTACTCTGCCCACAGCTCTGGGTGAGGGTCTAAGGCATCATCCTTTGTAAGAGACCATTCGTTATGTAGCACTACGAAAAAACACTGCCACTCAAACTAGAACACGCCTACAATTGTAAGACCATCTCAGTTTCAGAAATGGTAAAATGTGAAAAAATATGCTTATTAGAATTGATATTTTATTAATCAGATATCAACACTTTAGCCCAAGGAACTGAATCTTCCATTTTGGCATTTCATGCATCAACAGATAAGCCGGTTGAAGAGGTATTTAAGCAGGGATCAGAGAGAGGATTTTCCAACCCTAATAACACCTGTGTTTTTGCTTTAGGTTCTCAAATCAGCCTCAGAGTAGCCTAAAAGCTTGGCGTCTACTCACAGAAGGCCAGCTCTCCCCCTAGTTGCTGCATAGTCCTCAACAGCTCCACCTTAAACACTCTGGACACCTTACCTGGATCAAAGGCTCCTTCTCCGCCCCTCTGTGGGGAACTCCTTTTCTCTAACGCTAGGTCTTTTCAAAAATTCTAACCCAAATAAAAGAAAAAAGAAAAAACAATGCCTCGTATCCCTGCTCAGAATTGAGGGTAGATAGTAAGCTCCCGGCTATGAGCTCCCTGGACTTGCAGGCACCCTGTGTGAAGGCAGGAGGAAGCATTTGCTCCGTGGGATACACGCAGACTCAACAGAGGAAGGCTGTGCAGCAGGTTAGGGGTGATGCCAAGATTAGGACTCAGCCATGCCAACTCCCTGCCCATGTCCTTCACATTAGAGAAAAGGTTGTAAATGTTGCAGAGCTGCCTTTGGAATAAACGTGGGACTAGCAAGTCAGGACCCTCTTTTCACATACCTGCTAGGAATATAGGATCCTTACCTGTACAACCCTCTCAAACATATGAGCCAAGGGGAGGTAGGATATGGTCACGTCCTCAGAACTGGGCTCAAAAGTATACTATAGATCATGAAATGGAAAGGAGACAACAGTGGATTAATGCCAACTTTCTCTTCCAAAGAAGATTTGAACACTTCTTCTTTCTAGGACCGCTGCATACAGTTGTACAGCTGTGCACTGTGCAACTAACTCTAAGGGGTGCCCTAACTGCACTGAGTGCAGAGATCTGCAGTGACCCTAAAAGAGCTAAACTCTAGACAAAGATGCACCAGTATTTGTCCACACTCAGGCCTTCAACCTGTTTCTTCCCCCTCTGCCTCCTCTAACTTTAAAATCTTATGACAGATTCCCATTTTAACGAGGGCCTCCTTTTCAACTGACCACTGACCTCCACACATTTGAGAAAAGCAGCCGCATTTGAAACGATATTTTCATGGGTTAACATGGCTCCTTTGGGGTCACCTGTAGGAAACAAGAGGTGGAAAGATCTGTTAAATGGCTAGTAGGTAGCCTTTGGCATTGAAATGAGAAGCTACATTCGACTGGTTCTGTTCCAGGGAGCTGAGAGCTTCTCCTGTCACTGTGGTTTTTTTTATGAACAGTGTATGACTCTGCTTATGAATGATTGATGCCTCCACAGATTCTACTTCTGACAGCAGCCTCAGCCTTGTGCTACCACACAGGGCATAGCCACAGTCACAGACAGCAACACAGTCAAAAAGAAAATCCCAAGTAACCCGCCCCCCTCCCCGTGCTGTTTTCATGTTGAAGACTTCAGATCTAACAACATTACCTAGCCATCACTTTATAAACTGGGCACAGTGGAATGGATATAACTTCTAGATCATCATGGATCACGTTAAAATTTATTGAGTTCTAATAGCTAGGTAACTACATACAGGGGAGAAAGAGGACACGGAGTGATCTGTGTTGAACTACCACTGGGCTATGTTGATTGAGTGAAACCACTCCAGTGATGTCAACTTGAGAGAGTCTGGGCTGGAGGAGAAAGTTGACTTTCTGATGCCACCTTTAAGGGCCCTGAATTCCATAGCATGTAAACACCTCCCACTGTGTTCAGTGAAATTTATTTGCTTATGCATAGGTTTTTCTATGCAGGCATCTGTACTCAGAAATCTTAGACTGTAAGCCCCTATGGATAGGGCTTATTGTAGGGTATTTTTACCAGCCCACTAGTGGTCAGTGGCTCAAGCCATGTTTTTGGCTGACCAGGGGCCTCTGGGGCAACTTCCTGGGCACTGACCTGTGGTCCCACTGGTGAAGCAAATGATGCTCAGATCTTCTGGTGCAGGAGGCTGGAGGGGAAAGCACAAGGGCTTAGTCTACCGTGAGCTTGGAAAGTTGAATATGGAAAGACTCAAATTTGGGCAGAAGAAAACTTACCACAGGTTTCTTGAAGTTCTCTTTGCCTAAATTCTGCATGAACAGGAAACCAAGAAAGAAAGACATTAGTTGAGTTGGGAAGACTTAGGACAAATACAGCCCTCCCTTTCCCTTTTGCTTGAGAACACCTCTGTGGGAATACAACCAAAATTCCAACCTGGATCAGGCCCAGAAGGCAACATTCAGGTACAATGGAAGCCTTGGGGTAGAGTATAAGTTTCCTCTAGAGTATCAACTCAAGAGGGCCGATCCCAAATGTCCAAACATCCCATCAGACTCCTATGGTTCAGTCTTCTAGGACCACTGCTAAATCGTTTTGAATAAAATGAACAGTTAACATTTCAAGGCTTACTACACTTTATATTACTGTCCTGAGCACTTTATATTCTCTCATATAACTCTTTACAACTCCTCTGTGAGGTAAGAACTATTTCATCCTCATTTTACAGAGAGGGAAAGGAAGATGTGGAGCAACTGGCCCAAGGTCACCTAACCAATGGGTGTGGAGCTGGAACGTGAACCTAGGAAGCCTGGCTCCAGGACCATATCTTTAACTGCCACCTAGCCTCTGCATTTATAAAGCCTCTACTTGGAAGTCTGAGCACACTGACCACAGACCTTCCTCACCCACTGGCATGGTTTCTGAGCTGTCTTGGGGAAATGATTCCCAAAGCTTCACAGCATGAGTGTAATTTACTCTTCTCGTTCCACCCCGGAGAACAACAGCTTTGCTCCCTTGTGCAGAAGTCCTGCAAGTTGCCCACAGCATCAGCCCAGCCTTCCAGCTGTGAGCTGACTTTCAGACCCATACCTCAGCATCAAGCAGGGATAAGATCTCAACTCCACATTTCTCCCCTCTCTTCTTCAGGTCGTCCTCAAAGGGATCCATGAGGATGATCAATTTCAGGCCCGGGGTGAGGCCGTTTTCCACATTGCTAATCAGGGCCAATGCCTTTTGGGGCGTATCACAGATCACCACGGCGATATCAGCTGAAAGCAGAAATAGGGCCGGGGGTTACCCTCCAGCTTTGCTGTGTACCCGACTGTCTTGCAAAGAGGAAGAGATTCTTGAAAATTTCAAAGGTACTGGGTCCCCAAAGGAGATTATGCCTGTAAATCAGATTTGTAATGTATATAATCTGAAACATTCCACTGATAATAGATAAGCTTAATTGAAACAGAAGCACTTAATTTCCTTGCATGCGCTTAACAGTTTATAGTTTCCAGAGGAGCCACTTCCTTCTGCTTAAGAATACAGACAACGTGTATGAATCACGTAGATGTGGTCCTGCCAATGTGTTTTACCTAGGGGAGAGGGGAGGAGGGATTAGAAGGTAAAGGAGGAGGCAAGTGGGATTTTAGCAGACAAGCATTTATGATTTTTAATGTTAGCATTTGCTTTGGTACTTGTTTACACAAATAGAAACCTTCTGATTATGTCTATAGTTCAAATGGATCTACTCACTTAATCTACTAGTTCTGGGACAGAAAGTAACATCTAGTATGTGTCTTATTTGCCCATTGAACTTGAACTTGTTTCTCTAACAGTGGTAATTTGGTCCACAGACTCAGCATGGACATTGGTACATGCTGGCGAGCTATACTGACTTCGATTTATAAGAATAGGAAATTAAACTAGTAGTTTCACAGTGATACAGTCAATTAAAAAGTTATTCACTAACTCTGTGGCCTTTCATCCAGGGTTGCCAGCAAAAACAGTCTTATTGCTAAACTATATTGTCATACTATACTACCTTGAAGCATTTCATTGAACCTTGTATCTGATTATATCCCTGCCTCATGGGCTTTTTGTAACTTCCCTCTAAATTATATCTTAGGTACTACAGGACAAGAGAGACTTGAGCATTTTTCTGGTCACAGCATTCTAAGTCTGCTAACAAAAACAGATAATGAGGAATTACTCAGCATCAAGAAAGAATCAAGTTAAAATGTAATAGCAACAGGAATAAAACAGACGCAGATGTAGAGAATGGACTTGAGGACACGGGGAGGGGGAAGGATAAGCTGGGACGAAGTGAGAGAGTAGCATTGACATATATACACTACCAAATGGAAAATAGATAGCTAGTGGGAAGCAGCCACATCGCACAGGGAGATCGACTCGCTGCTTTGTGACCACCTAGAGGGGTGGGATAGGGAGGGTGGGAGGCAGACATAAGAGGGAGGAGATATGGGGATATATGTATACATATAGCTGATTCACTTTGTTATACAGCAGAAACTAACACACCATTGTAAAGCAATTATACTCCGATAAAGATGTTTAAAAAAAATGTAATAGCAAAATTTTACCCTTGTTGACAATGTATGTGACGGCGTCTTCTCCCAAGGTGTCATACAGGGGGACAGCTACCATGGAGTATGTGTAACAAGCAAACTCAGAGATGACCCACTGTATGGAGAGAAGTTCAAATAAGGAATAGCTTATGCTTTGAAAAGGAAATGTGCTAATTCAGTCATTTAGTCAACAAATGCTTATTTGGTGGCTCTGTGTTAAAAAAAAAAATCACCTTTTTTGTGATGCCCTAGGGACTGCCACTGCTGATGCTATAAAATATAATTAAATAAAGAAGATAAGATAGGTGCAGAGACAACTATAAAACAAAGGGAGAGTGTAATAAGTTCTAACCATAAGTGTTATGGAAAGCATTAGGGAGTGTTGAGGTAGAGTCACACTCAGGAGTGGGGTAGGCTATCTGGGACTGCTTTGGGAAAAGTGATGGAAATTGGGCAGGGCTTTGAAGAACAGGTAGGATTTGGTCATGGAGATGGAGGCAGAGAAGGTATTCAAGGAAGAAGGAAGTGAATGAACAAAGATAGGACCGCATGACATCACTAAGTACACATCAGAAAGCATCAAAAGTGACAGGAAATGAATTGGAAAGGTGGGCCAGGATCTACTAATGGTGGACCTTGAATGTCAGTCTCGGCATTATGAACTGAATTGTGTTCCCCCTAAAATTTATGTTGAAGCCCTAACCCCACTGCAATTGTATTTGTAGATAGCTCCTTTAAGGAGGTAACTAAGGTTAAATGAGGTCATAAGGATGGGGCCCTGATCCAATATAACTGTTGTCCTTATAAGAAGAGAAAGAAACACAGGGGATGGCAGAGAAAAGGTCATGTGAGGACACAGCAAGAAGGCAGCCATCTGCAAGCCAAGAAGAGAGGCCTCAGGAGAAAACAAACCTGCTGACACCTTGATCTTCAGCTTCCAAGCTCCAGGACTGTGAGAAAATTAATTTCTGTTGTTTAAGTCACCAGTCTGTGGTATTTTGTTATGGAAGCCCTAGTAGATTAAGATACTAGGTTTGGTGTTAAGTTCCTGAACTAGAGTCAAGGATATCTCTTCTTACTGAGGCTGGGTGTAATGAAGATGAAGTATGTAGATGCACCTAAAAGTGCAGCCAGGGCCCTCTTGGATTTTTAGTTAAGCAACTGGCTTAGGTAAGCACATGTCATCCAACTCTTCTGAAACATACAAAGCCTTTCTCTGAGGATACTGGGTCTAATGACTTAACTAGAACTTGAAGATAAGCTTAATTCCAATCATCTTAATGTCTAAAGTCTGTTTTCAACTCACTGTGGAAAGATGGCTACAGCTGGTCTCAGTAGCAATGGAAGCCTTGGTTGCTAGTTCACGTACAATGTGCAAATTCCAATTCTAGTACAAACTCATCCCTTTCCACATCGTCCTCAAGCTCTTACTTGCCAGTCCTTCATAGCTTCCTTATTTTCTTCATACAACAGACTGACTTAAAATGACACATAATGGGAGACATGTAAGAGAAGTCCAGTCACCTAGCAAATAGCACTAGACATTCAACCAGGATTAAAGAGATCCTGCACTGTAACTTTTAAGTGGAACAATATTTAAAGAATCTGAGGTCTTTAAACAGCTTTGATAAGTCATCAGCAAGTGTCAGAGTGCTGGATTTGGGGTAGGGTTTAAAGTCTTTAGACTTAGCCCTGACTCATTTCCTTGAGTTAATTTCAGCATGGTTACCTCTGGCCTATTCTGAGCAAAGATGCCAACAAAGTGTTCTTGTGATGGCTTATATCCTTTCTGCAAGAGACAGGAGCCCAGGTACTCTGCTCGATCAGACACCTACAAGTGAGAGAGGTAAAGAGAGAGGAAAAAAAAGCAGTCAAGACCCAAAAGAGATCATATTAGCTCAAGATACCACACAAGCAAAAGAATTTATCCAAAATCATGGGCCTGACTTACCTGTTTGTAGGACAGCCATCTGTAGGGCTGGTTTGGTTTTCTATATCCCAAGCAAGGCCCATTGTCTAAAAACATAACATTAAATGAAAATCAGCTCCAGTTGCAAATTCTTTGGACCAGAGAGGGTTAAAGGAGGTTAGGAAGAGACAAGACACAAAGGATAAATCCAGTAAAGATGCGAGCTTCTCTTATGTGCCAAGGAAATTCAAACGCAGTAAGTACTCAGTTCTCAAAGGCAGAGGGAGCCTTGCAAACTACATTTGAAACACTTGGGAAATGCTACAAAACAAGGGTGGTTCCATGTTGGAATGTGTGACCTTCATGGTAACAGGCATTTGAGGAAAGCCATGAGTATGGACTAGCCCACATGATGTGAACAAACAAAAGCCCACAAGTAAACACTAATAGACTATATCAGATAATCTTGGATTGAGCTTCCCTACAATGAAAGAAATATATGTTCATAAAAATTTAGAAAAAAATCAAAATACAAGTCATCAATAATCTCATCACATAAACACCATTAAGGCTGATATTTTCTTTCATACTTCCTTTGAGAGTTCTACAGGGTTATATTCATTCCACGTGTATATTTTGGTAACCTGCTTCCTTCCCCCGTTTGAGATAAATATTCCCCTGTTATTATTTCTTCTCTGTAGAGATTTCAATGGCCTTATTATGGCCAAGTTATGAAGGGTTCTACTGTATAGCTGAATTTATCTCATTATGGGCATTGAGATTGTTTCCAAGATTGACACCTCAATCTTAATAAGGGTAATGGTATGATGCATATTTTCCAACTGATCATTTCAAAGTTAGAAAATTTTCTTAGAGTATTTTAAATGAAATAACTGTGTTGGGAAGGGTGGCAGCGGCTGGGAGTGAGGATGGTTGGTCAGACGGCTCAGGTTTTTGATACCTGGCACCACATTGCTTGGTGAAGCAGCTGGGACAATTTGCTTTTCTCCAACCAGCAATATATCAAGTCATAGACACTAAATAGTCTCTTTTTAATATGTCTTCTGGTTAAATAGGTTTTAAAAGTTATTGCTTTAGGGACTTCCCTGGAGGTGCAGTGGTAAAGGATCTGTCCTGCAATGCAGGGGATGTGGGTTCGATCCCTGGTCAGAGAACTCAGATCCCACATGCCGTGGGGCAACTAAGCCCGTGTGCCACAACTAGAGAGCCCACACACCCTGGAGCCCGTGCACCGCAACTAGAGAAGAGAAAACCCGCACAACTAGAGACGCCCACGTGCCACAACAAAAAGAGCCCGTGGGCCACAACTAAGACCCAAAGCAGCCAAAAATAAATAAATAAATGAATAAAATAAAAAAATTTTGAGAAAGTTATTGCTTTAGTCTAGGTTTCTTTAACAGCTATTAAAGTGGGGCCTTTTCCCTCATTTGTTAAGTTTTATCTGGTAATGTACTTTGCCTGTTTGTATGAGCATGTCTTCTGAGATACTGAGACTCATAAAGAACTGTAAGAACACACACACATACGAGTACATACAGGAGCACACATGTACACACACATTGGCCATCAATATTTTTACAGCTTACATTTATTGTCTTACATTTGACAATAGAAGAATTACACGCCTGAACATTGAAACTACTCAGCCTTATTTAAAATTACAATAAGTCTGGGAACATCCACTTACTAGTAATTGCAGCCACGGAAGCCACGAAAGTCATGGTATTTGTTAGGCTAAGGAACAACCCTAACTGGCCGAGAAGACCCCACATCTAAGCCAGAATGAGACTGAGTTATTTTTTTTATTATTATTATTATTTTTTGCGGTACGTGGGCCTCTCACTGCTGTGGCCTCTCCTGTTGTGGAGCACAGGCTCCGGACACGCAGGCTCAGCGGCCATGGCTCACGGGCCCAGCCGCTCTGCGGCATGTGGGATCTTCCCTGACCAGGGCATGAACCCGCGTCCCCTGCATCGGCAGGTGGACTCTCAACCACTGCGCCACCAGGGAAGCCCGAGACTGAGTTATAAATAGAAAAGCAGAAGAGAAGGAAATTTTACATAGAGGATTTAGCCAAATTGCTGAAAGGAGTTCAGGTCTAGCCCAAAGGAAGCATTCAAAGAGAAGGTTACTAGGAATTCAGAGGTAAATAAGTGAACTTCCAGACTAAGTGACAGAGGAAAAAGGAAAGAAAGCAGGAAAGAGCCACTCTGATGAAAGAGATATTTTTTTTTAAAAAATGAATGTGGAGACTGTCCACAGGAAATGTTAGTTCTTTTTCTTTCTGCTGAAACAGTTGCATGAACGCTCAAGAAGTCAAGTCTCAGACTGAGACTTTCCCTGAAGCCACAGGCAAGTCCTGCTTTAAAGTTCACAGCCACTGCTCCAGCCTAGAGTGTGCGCCACTGGTGCTCTACCAATGGGATTGTTTGTACTGACATTAATCACCAGTGATAAGTACCATTTATGGTACCTAGCTTACTCTGTGCTAGGCATTTTAACTCATTGGGTCTTCCCAATAACTACTGTTATCCCCATGGTACCAAGAATCATGAAGGGCTAGACAGCTTCAAGCTCACTCAGTAAGTGGCAGAGCTGATGAAGGTGGGAAAAACTATACTGCATCTCCTTATCACTTCCCTGTTGATGAAAATACTAGCAGAGGCCCATGACCAAGGAACAAGTCAAATAACTGGCCCAAAGGGGCACCAACTGGGGTTTCATTCAACTCTGTGCCCTAATCAGCTCAGTCTGATTAGCCAAAGTCCTGACCAGGCAACAGCCTAGCCTTTGATTAACTTAAGCAACTTAGATCTTCTGTTCTAAGATGTGGCCATCTAAAAAGAATCCACCCATTAACAACTTCTCAGCAAAACTGGGTCCCAAAGCTGGGTAGAGTTGAAACTCCAGCATGCAGAATCCCTGGAAAGCTTTGTTAAAAACTCATATTCTTAGGTCAAACTATCTGGAATTCTAATTCAGTAAAACACAGTGGAGGGCTTCTCTGGTGGCACAGCGGTTGTGAATCCACCTGCCAAAACAGGGGACACGGGTCCGATCCCTGGTCCAGGAAGATCTCACATTGCCGCGGAGCAACTAAGCCTGTGTGCCACAACTACTGAGCCTGCGCTCTAGAGCCCGTGAGCCACAACTTCTGAGCCTGCGTGCCACAACTACTGAAGCCCGCATGCCTAGAGCCTGTGCTCCACAACAAGAGAAGCCACCGTAATGAGAAGCCTGTGTACTGCAACGAAGAGTAGCCCCTGCTTGCCGCAACTAGAGAAAGCCCACGCTCAGCAACGAAGACCCAACACAGCCAAAAATAAATAAATAAAATTAAATTTTAAAAAACAACAAGGTGGGGGGCTTCCCTGTTGGCACAGTGGTTGAGAGTCCGCCTGCCGATGCAGGAGACATGGGTTCGTGCCCCGGTCCGGGAAGATCCCACATGCCGCGGAGCGGCTGGGCCCGTGAGCCGTGGCCGCTGAGCCTGCGCGTCCGGAGCCTGTGCTCCGCAATGGGAGAGGCCACAACATTGAGAAGCCTGCATACCACAAAAACAAAAAAAACAAAAAAAACAACCACAAAAAAAACAAGGTAGAGCCGGAGGATCTATGTTTTAAACATTATCTGCAGGTGATTCTCAACATGGATCATCTACTGGGTAGGGGTTAAAGATAGAGGTTAGGGCTGATGTACTCAATCCCAGTTGTAAACAGACATGTCATTTTTCTATGGAAATAGCCAGGCTGGATTTTTCAGGCCTGCTTACATGAGGAGCCATTTTAACTTTATCTGTTTAGTTGTAATTCAGTATTGAAATAAAATTTCTAAAGGAAGCAGTGTTATGTGCCACATATTACACGCTCAATGACTTGTTTCTAGTTACAATAACAACACATGCTCAGTGAAGAAAACTTCAAAAAATGGAAAATCCCAAAGGAAAGTCTATTGTATTAGCTATAGACTATCTTTAGTTGTCAAATAAATAAAACTAATGGTTGCATTGGTTTGTGCTTGTTATTTGCCTGGAAGTCTAAATCAGTACTAATTTGGAGCCAGAAATAGTAAGTACACTCCCCTTTAGAGACTTCAGATAGAAGTTTTCCTTACAAAAACCTTTCATTGTCTGGAGGTGCAACAACTTTTATAAAACACTTAAGAGCTGACATAAAATAGAATAATCTAGCCAGACAGACAGATTTAAATTTCAGTATCAGTGTCAACATTTTCTAGCTCTATCTCCTTTGAAATGTTCCTGAATCTCAGAGTCTCTGTTTCCTCGCTTTAAAAAATGGGGGTGAGGGACTTCCCTGGTGGCGCAGTGGTTAAGAGTCCGCCTGCCAATGCAGGGGACACGGATTCCATCCCTGGTCCAGGAAGATCCCACATGCCACGGAGCAACTACGCCCGTGCGCCACAACTACTTAGTCCGTGCGCCACAACTACTGAGCCCATGTGCCACAACTATTGAAGCCTGCACGCCTACAGCACAGGTTCCTACAGCCTGTGCTCCGCAACAAGAGAAGCCACTACAATGAGAAGCCCGTGCACCACAACAAAGAGTAGCCGCCACTCGCCTCAACTAGAGGAAGCCCATGCGCAGCAGCAAAGACCCAACGCAGCCAAAAGAAACCCAAAACAAACAAACAACGATGTCATAACTAAGAAGAGATGCAGCCAAAACAAACAAACAAACAAATATTTAAAAAATAAAAATAAATAAAAATGGGGTGATAGCAACTAATCCCTGTGATATAGGGAAGATAAAGTAGATGATATCCGTGCAATACGATAGGCTGGTTAGCGCTCGACTATTAAATATTGTCGTAGTCATAATTAAAAGGCAGAAGGGAAGGGATGAGAAGAAGTCACAGAGGTAAACCTCCACCTGGACTGAATATCACCCAAAAGAAAAAAGTTATAGGGAGAGTTATAAGCCAGTTGATTTTGAAAGGAAACCAGTGTACCTTGCATCAAGTTCAGTGATACAAGATAGAATTACTGAGCCTTGATATTTTCCAAATGACCCTACCAAAGGTCATGTGGTGATGTTTCTAAGAAAGTCCAAAAGATAATTACCTTCTGTGATACTATGGGCAGCAGCATGGGCCAGCAGTATGGCACTGGGGGCAAGGGTGAGGTAAGAAGTCAGGAGGTCTGAATACTAATTCTGGCTCAGATCCTATAATGCAGGGAATTGCATTTATGAAAAGCATGTTCCTAAACAAATATAATGTACTAGTGAATTAATCAAAATACTTTCCTACTGTTCACTCTTTTTTTTTTTTTTTTTTTTTTTTTTTTTTTTTT